TCAAAAGAAACTCTTTTATATTTCCTTCATTTTATTATCTACAGTTTTAATTCTACAGACTATGGACTGCAGGATAAAAATGCTTAATTAACAGTTAGTGAGCTGTGCTGATTTCAGTGAAATCATTAAAGAACTTACTTCAAAGATGCCAGATGGATTATGTTAACAACTAAATTAGCACTCGATCTATTTTTAAGTGAGCAGCCTTTAAAATATATGTATATTTGCAAGAGGAGGTTAAGGATAGGCTGTGATAAAATTAAAAGGTATTACAGTTTATTAAATCATAAAGCACTGCTATACAGTGCTTTAGAAAAAGCATCACTTTTCTCTGTTTTGTGAAATTAAAGGTGATCTCTCCTGCCTGCAAATTACGTTAACTGACGCTTGTAACCCGTGTAATAAAAAGACTTTGGTTAATTAATGAATATTTGTCTCTAAGGTCCAGAAGACCTTTATTAGGGGTTGGTAGGAGCAGTAGAAACATTCCTGAGACACAGCCCAGTGAAGGGATCTGCAACTTCTTTTCCAAGGCGCAAAATCAAGTTTCCACGTGCAGCGGGTACCCTACCCCCAGCCCCGCGTTTCCAAGCCGCGGGCTTCGGCGGCCGCTCAGCTAGCGTCGTGCAGAGAGGACAATCAGCCGCCCAGACCCACCATCTCGCAGACGGCGAAGGTCTGAGCCCCATCAGGTTGCGCCAGCCGGGGCGGCGGGGATGACTGGGCGCCCGCGTCCTCTCCTGCGTCACCCGCGTCCTCTCCCGCACCGCGTGCTGCTGCCGCCGCCGCCTCTCTGCGACTCCCCAGACGCGCCGAGGGGGATGGAGGCCCAGGGGCAAAGCAGCAGGCCTGCGGGCACAGGGGCACCGGCACCGACCCCTGGCCCTGCACTGGGCCCTGAAACGCTCCCACAAACCCGACCCGGGGCCGCGTGATCGCCGTTCCCCTCCCGTGGGACTTTCTGCACAGCGGTGTGCTGCTGCGCCAAAGTCGTTCCTAAAGGTCTCCCGTGAGCCCCGCTCGCAGGCATCCTGTTACCTGGCTCCATAAACTTTAAATTCAGCGTTAAGGCTTTTTACAACAAACGAAATGGAGATAAAAGGTTGCAGGTTGTGTAACAAACACAAAGGTGGTAACGCTGAAGTTAGAGCAAAGGCAAAATGTGAAACAAGCTTAACACGCAGAGGCGGTTTTCGTTAGGAATCATTTTTCCAAGAACAGCTCTTCCCGACCTGGTCAGTCTTTCATGACAGAACAAAGAAAAGGGACCACTCAAATGACCTCAAGACAACTTTTTTCCCTGTTTTTAACTTTTCTTTTGTATTTTTATGTTGACCTAAACCCACCAATACCTGTTTCCTTTTTGATTAGCTCACAAATGTCGCTATCAAGAACATCAGGAAGAAAAAAAAAAGTATTTATTTTACTATAAAGCAAAATCCTGCACTGCTTGGGAAAGCGCTCACTAAAACCCTGGGCAGCGTCAGTCCGAACAGCCTCCCGCGTCTGTCCTTAGCGGCGCTGCTACAGAGGAAGTAGCCGCTGCGTGAAGAGGCTTGTGTATAAACAGCAGCAGTAAGTTCAGCAGAAATGCATAGCAAGCAGAAAACAAACTAAACACTCTAGGTCTGGCAATTACAAATTTGTTGCCCCGGCTGGCGCGAGCCTCCCTGGGGCAGGCGTCCAGCCCGCTCGGGAGGACAGCGAAGGGTGAAGCCTTCGCTTGCATGCATAAAGCTTCTTTTGGCGCTAACAGGAACATTTTGGTAGAGTAGAGTGGAGTAGAGTTGGGGTTTTCCAAAATGATCATCCCAGCAAGCTGGAAAAATTACTTACAAATCTGGCCTGGGATTAGCTATATCCAACTTTTCAAAGCAAAATTACAGAAAAGTTTTAAAGGGCTTTTCCGCCACGCAGGCGCAGGAATCTGCCTGCCCCCACAGATCCATAACGCGGTGTGAGCTCGTGCACAAAGATGGCATGTTGGAGGCACCTAAAACTTGGGATTAATTGGGCTGAAGTTGCATGCATATGCTTGCAATCAAACAGCTAATCAAGCCCTGACTGTGGAGGTAGTCTGAAGAACAGCTTCAGAAAAATACCAGAAAATTTCCATGTTTATTGGTTCTATCTAGTTTACTCACTGTTAATTTTTTAAAATCAATTGCTGTTTCTATCACTTCCTCTGAACAACTGGAGGCTCAGTTTCTCTGTTATTCACATACGATAAAGAAGAATACTGCTGGATTATTATTAAAAATTATAGTTTAAATTCTTTTTTTAAAATTCAAGGGATGTAAAACCTAGGGGTCATCTAATTTCCAGGGTTACCGTTTGATAAAAAATTAATGATTAGAAAGGGCCAGTAGAAATACATTTCTTTCAGTAAAGAGCAAGCCGCCTGTCCTTGCTGGCTGAACGGGAAGTGTTTGGGGTGGTGCGGTGACGGGGTGATCTCCTTCAGAAACGTGACAAAAGCAGTGCCTTGGCCAACGTGACATTTTAGCCATTTCAAATCTCTTTGTGTGCCTCTGTGACGTACCCTCTGATTGTCCTTCGTATGCCTAAATACTGGCACTCCATCCCTTCAGAGGGTACGGCACAAATGTGAAAAGACTTCTGCCAGGGATGGCACTTTCACCCCTTCACTTCAGACGATTAATGGCTAGTGCTCATGAATTTATTACTGCTGCTGCAATCTCAGTATGATTTTAAATAATACAGGTTATTATTTCTGTGAAAAGACTAACTCCAGAGGGTCCCAGGCTACCAGCAACTGCATCAGCCTCCCAAGGAAGTTCTCTCCAGAGATGGATACGGAGGGTCATCAGAAAATCCAGTTAACCTTCATATTCCTTGTGTTCTCAGACTGGACCGCAGTAAATCAGGCCCATCAGTTGCAACTTTTCCTTACTGCCAGAGACCAGTTAAAATTTAAGGAGTATGTTATCCCATTACAAATTGCCATAGGAAGGCAACCCCAGCTGTAATGAAAGGGTAGGCTACGTGGGAAGGCACAGAGCTGCTGCCCTACGGGAAGGTTCCCGCGCTCTGCATCGAGTAGCAAATGGAAAACGGTTAATAAGAGAACATATGGCACAAATTATACCGTAAGCACTAAAGAAACCTTAAACTGCAAACATCCTTTTAGGTTAGACCTTCTTCGTCGCTATGTTCTGCTCTCTCTGGCATAAGCTGATGGCTCCGGTAAATATTATTGTACCAAAACAATTTATTTTTTGCATTTTTATGTAAGAAAAGTCACTCTGACAGCATTACTGGCACAGGTATGCTACCTGTGCGCCACAGGTGGTGGCACGCACCGGAGAGCGCAGTCTCCGTCCCGAAACGCTGCCGAGGAGGAACTTTTCTCAGATCTCTTACGCTATTGCCAATTAACTGCAAATTTTATTCACGATCTGTCTTGAGTTCCCAGCCAGACTTAGTCAAATGAAGGAACTCAGATAGCATTTCTGGAGTACTCTTGATTAGCTAAGTGTATCCTATGGTGAGCAGGATCATTACCTGTACTGTGCATTATATTAAAATATATAATGTTTTTTTAAAAAAAACATTATTAAAATCTACTAAGCTCAGGGAAGATTTTTTCTGTGGAATTTTTGGAGATGATTCTGTATGAGTAATATTTGCCTAATAAACAGCAGAGAACAATTTGTGTTGAAGTTCTTACTGTTTTCAATGATTTAATCTTACGTTTAGGGCACTTTTTCCATTATTAGCTATTGTTTATTATACATGGCACAATACTTTTATATAATGTTCTGAAAATAAAAGTCATCTGTTCGCTTTACAAACAGCTTTACAGCAGAAGAAATCTCCTAGATTTTTGCAGCCTATGAAGATGAATAGAGAAAACTTTTTTACATCTAAGGTAGGGAAAAAGGAAGGGGGGGGGTTAATGCTTAAAAGCAGAAAAGCAAATGAGGTAAAATCTTCAGATACTTAAAAATTTGGCCCTCCCAAACAAGGCCCCAAAATTTTAAACGTGCTGTGAGTCTTCCGAAACTGTGAGTAGGAAGTTAATTTCTCTAGATAGATAGCAATTACCTTTAAAAAGAAGTAGCCTAGAAAGCTGGATTTCCATTTTGGTGTAAGAGCATGACAAGAATGATCACTGAATGTTAAATGCATGTATGGATTTTATAAAATAAAAATTGTGGCAAGTCAAAAGGACGATCGGATTGTGCGAGTTAAGGTGCTTGTTCTCAGCTGCCATCATACACGCACTGTGAAAATTTCACTTACATCGTATTATGCATCCATAATTATTGACAACAGGACGAGATAGGGAATTGTCCTAGAAGTCTTGACACTGTGATCTCTTGTTCCCTCTGGTTAAAATGTTCATATTATTTCTGTCTTCCGCATTTGAAGTTTTTAATTTACTTGTATTTTAATTCTAGGCCACTTAGCCCAGAAGGCACAGCTCGCACTGAAATGCATCTTTGAAGCGTCACAATTATGATGATTAATCCAGAGCTTGAGCAAGCTGCAAGGCATAAAATTACCTGTGCCCACCCTCATTCCAGACATGTCATGCGGTTGACTTTATTGCCATGAGATAAAAGCATCTATGTGACTTTCGCGTTGCTGGTCTCATTGTCAGCCTTTGAGACCCCAGTTGTCCATCAGCCTGACTTGTCCCATCTGCCCTCTGAGAGACTCTAGGTTGAGAAACTCAACCTCATCAAGTTTTGGCATTTTGGATATCCCAGCTCCCGGCGTTACGTGCAGGCTGATCTCGAGCGGGTTGATGCCGCCCCTGAAGGCAGCGATGTTGAAGCCCACCATGCTTCAGCCCCATCTGCAGCTGGCTACACCAAAATGTTTTGCTTCAAGAGATGAAAAGATCAAATAGCTTCTCACTGACAGATTGTCCTCCCACATTTGAATTCTCTGCAAGCCACTGAGCTTCCAGGGGCAGGAATATCTTCACGCTTTGTGCAGTTTGACGTAGGCCTGCTGCTGGGGCAGGAAGGATGCAGAGGAGGACCGAGGTCCTGTCTCAGCTGACTTATGCAGCAGGAAATGCTCTGCAAGGAGCTCTGAGCTGTGCTTTGAGGTATAAGCTATAGCCCTAGCAGCAAGGGAGCAACATCCTTTTGAAAACTGTCACAGCAGAGCGTATCTGATGGAACATAAGCTCATCAGGAGGGGCAAGCTGAAGGTTTTCCCTCCATTCCCAGCCATTGCTCAGCCATTGAGCTGCCGCAAACGCAGCTGAGCCTTCAGCACTTTATATGACACTTTGTCTCCGGCAGCTAATGAAGCTGTCATGCCTCTCAAATATCCCTGCGAAGGCAGGAGCGCGTGAAACGGTGGTGCACTCACCACAGCTGGGAAGAAAAACGCCACTTCCAGCAGCTTTCATTATTGACTTGCACCTGACAAAAAGGAGCATGTTGCTGTGGGATGAAGGCTGTCTCCGTGGTGAACCTTCTCTGAGAAAAGGGATTTGCATCTCCCATGACAGCCGTCTCTGTATCTCCCTGCCAGGGGCGCCTGGGACACTGGTGGCCCGACCGCTGGGCTGTACGAGGAGGACTCCAGCTTAGGGGTGGCCGCCGTGGGTGGCCGGGGGCCGTGTCCTCCCGCAGGGCCCTGCCGGCCGTGCGGCACTGGGGCTGAGGGACCACGCGGGCACCAGCCACCGCAGGAGCATCCTCGGAAGCGGCTGGAGGTTCGAGGCAGGTTCTGACGCAATTTTTCTCACTCTGACAACGGTTTATCTTCTCTCGCTCACATCTGGTAGGTATTTATACGCTGCAGAGTGTGGGAAAGTCAAAGCTAAACATACGGATTTAACCCATTTCACATAAAGAGGTGAAAAGTGGGTGTTTAGATATTATCAGGTCTGTAGCTGGTAGTAATATATACAAAGTGTAAATCTCCCTGGAGCTGGAGGTACCTGGTGTAGAACGGCCTAATGTGAAACCCAGCAAGCAGAGCTCAGCAGGTTCACGCTGCTCAACACCACGCAAAACCTGCGGCAGGAGAGAAAGGATTTACACAGAAACCCAGGAAGTCCGAGGAGAAGCAATACCACCTCCCATTAAATATTGTGATGGCCTTTCAATACACAGGTTCAAAAGGATGCAGGGAAAATGCCGGGACAGAGCTTCTCTTGCGCATAGCGTTTGCTTCAGATTTTATTGCATACTGCCCAGCAGCTTGGCAGTAAAGGGATCTCATCAGCTCATCCAGTTTTGACTGATAGTGTCATCTTTATTGAGACAAACCTGGGTTATCAACCACTTGTCCTGTTTTTACCCTTTGGCTAGGCAAGCTCAGGATAAGAGGGTTTGCAACAAAAGTGTTTCTGAGTGGCTGCGCCCTGAGCTGTGGGGCAGCTGAGCACAGCGCATCTATCAGCTCGGGCGGGAGATGAAGGCGACACACGGAAAATCTCGTATCTGTAACACCCAAAGGGCTGCTGCTGGCGTTATTCAGGGAGGAGGAGGAGGGCTGCAGGCTGCTCGCGCCTGGCTCCTGCGGGAACGCTGGGCTCCCTCCCGCCGCTGCCGCCGCCCCCCCCCTCCACAGCCCCACCAGCCAACCTCCTTACCCCAATGTATGTCTTCGCTGCTTTATCAGCAGCTGCTGAATCTATTTTAAAAGGTGCTAATGGACAGATGTTTGGTGTCTCATAAGACAGTTTAGCATAAAGATGGATGTGCTTTGTCCAGAAGCAGTGCCTGTGCGTTCTTTGCTTGCTCACTCACATTAATAGGAACGTGCATGCAAATCTCCCAGCAGCTACAATAAATTGCTGCTGGGCCCTTGAACTCCTTCCAACTTGCTGTAGAAGTTCAAAGGCCACATAAATGAATCCTTTTTTTTTCCCCCCCCAAAAGCTGGGGCAGGGGCAGTTGACTGCTTAGGTAAAGCTTTTATCCCCACCTTGACAGCTTTTGAAGGTGCTATGAATTTGATGAGACAGGACAACGTAAGTAATGTAGGTGTGAATAAAACCTAAAATACAGACAGAAGTTGACAGATGTCATGGCCCTCTCTGTAAGGCACGACCCTAGCAGCAGCCCTGGCTGAAGCTCCACCTGGGCTGCATTGCCGCTAATTACAATTACCAGGCTCAGACGGTGAGCTGCTCTCCCTATATATCCCCCATGCCTGAGGTGTGGCAGGTTGCTATGATGTCCTGTGGCAGAAGTGGGCTCTCCCCCCCCCTTTTTTTGCCTAAATGAAGGTTGGCCCTGTGATATATTGGGTATCTCCCTAAGAAGTGTTGTGGAAGTATCACCTTAGTGGGGTTCAGTGTGTTTTAGCTAAGCTGTTACTTGGTTGATTGATGTTGTTTAGTTTTTGCCTTCCCTTTTGGAGGGGAATGGATGTGCTTACTGCTGTAGTTTCTGAGGGCTGCCTAAATGGAGCTGCTAAAACAGGTCCTGCATGCATGTGTGGGCTTTGAATCCTTTTTTGTTCCTCTCTGCCTACTTTTTTCCTCTGCTATGGTACTTGCATGTAAGTGTCTAGAAGCTCATTCAGGAATGGTTGTGGAATTAAATGAATATTTTGCTATCTCAGTGTCCTGCTGGTGCAGGTGATGGTAGCTGTATGTGCTGATACCACAGGCTGCTTGCACATAGACTTGTGGCTGCAGACTTGTGCTAGGTAGGGCTTCATTTTACATTAGTTTCTCTCTTGTAGTCTTGATAACACAAAGCAATAACTCTGTTGTAAAACATTAGAAAATGTTAGAAAGAGTGCTATGCTCACATTGTGCACACTGTGGCACACAATATCCTGTTTTTTTCTGTTCTGCTAATTATAGGAAAGGTGTGAAAGGACTCTTAAATGTAGATGCAGTTAGTGAAAAGCAAGAGAGGGGGAAGCCTGATAGAGTAAATATGCTGTACCTAGTGTTGTTTCCAGAGCTGTCCCATGAACAGTCTTGGCACATAACAAACATCCATCAGATGGAAGAGAACAGCTTTTGCTGCCTGTTCTGGTGGTAGGCAGCTGTGTGCTGTGCTTCTCCCATTAAAATTTGTCATATTACAGTGTGTGTGAGGCCTTCAGCTTGTTACAGAATTGATGTTCTTTATCATTAAACCTTGTGGTCTGTCTCAGCCTGTTGCAGATGGGACAAATTAGCTCTGGTGTGTCTCCAGGGCAGGCTCTGTGCCCTGAGGGTGTGTGGAGTGAGCGCCCTTCCCTCCTCCCCGTGTCCGATTTAGCACTGTGCTAATGGGTGAAGCATTTGGACTCCTGCCCACTGGAGTAAGCCCTTGCTTTTCCCATCCAGAGTGCCTTTGCCTCAACCTGCAGCACAGGGAGAATTGGTCTAAGTAACTCAGAGCTCTCTGCAGATATGTCTCTACCTCAGCTGTGTTTTGGCTGCAGATTAGCTCAGGCTGTTGGAACCTGAGGAAATTCTGATATATTAATATGGATTTCTTTGCAGTTTTTAAACAAGAATATTTTCAGGTGGATATAATACCACCTGAAAGCAAGATACCTTTGCTTTCAAAGGCAAGGCACTCAGTGTATGTCAGGATGTGAGTGGGCATGTGGGGCTGAATCACCTGCTGAGGTAAGCGCAGGAACAGGAATAACTACTCAAGGCAAACTACTCACTAGTGAGATCACAAACTTTATCCTGTAAATCGTGCATGCTACTTACAGTTTAGAGCTTTAATAGCCTTGTGCTTTGGTGGCTGCACAAGAAATGTTCATGAGTGTTTACAGATCTCAACAGATAGTGACTTCCTGCAAGGCTAGTGAGGTATGATCTCTCCCTAGAAGGCAGGCCAGATGCAAATCAGCTGTCCCCATCGCATCCCTCCTCTCCATGTGTTCCCATCTCGTCTCCTGTGATGGACTGCACAGCCCAACACTGGCCTCATGAGGAACATGTTAAGGTTTCTTTAACACTGTTGCAATCAAATAGGTAGCACTTAATGGCAAGATAATGGATTTGTCTTTCTGAATCCGTAGTAACTGAGTTGAAACACTGGCATCTAGGTGTATCTTAGGACTGCTCATTAACTAGTGTTGACTTTCATCCCCATTAACCCCTGGCAGTGTTTGGACTTGCTGAGCTGGTGATGAAAATGTCTCCCAGGTTCTTGAAAAGGCAGGGGAAATGGTCAGTGAAGAATGGCAAAATAGCTAATCCACTAAACTTGAGGTAGCAACTCTTTTTCCCTCTCCTCCCACTGCAGGGAATAAAACAAGGGTGAATTTACCTCCTGCTTTGAATTTGCCACTCAGCAAGATGCTAGTCCAGGGAAGCGTTCCCACTGCTTTGGCATGGTGGCTCCAGTACTTGCCTGTTCTGGGAGTATCGTTTTGGGAACATGGGAAAGGAGGAGCGTGATCTTTGGAGAAAGAGGCCCCCTAAGGGAAGGGAGCAATCTTAAACACTGTGCTTTAGTGAAAGGAAGCTTTGCCTTGAATGATGACTCGAATCAAAAAGTGTTTACTTAAAGATGGCTTTTCTTGGTAACTAATGCATACCTGCTGTTTACTTCCTGCCAAAGAGCCCAAATACGCTATTAAATTCTCCCCCGCAATGTGGTGGGTTTTGTAGGGCTGACCTGGAATTACCTGTCCCAGATGTAGGCTGAAATGAGCTAAATGGCAGGTTTTCAGCTGAATCCTGCTCCATAGTAATTGCTGTGTCTGGCCTCTGGCTGCCCTGCAGCATGGGAGAGGGGTGCCTGCTGCCACGAAGCCTGCTCCTGTCCCTGGTCAGACCTCATGTGGGGGAGAAATCCAACCTCTATTTGCTTTTGATTTAACCAGAACTGCCTTCAGTTTAAATGGGCAGCTTGAATAAGCAAGACCTTCAGGAAGAAGGGGAGAAAACATGAAAGAGCAGGTTTTATCAAAGGTGTGATTTCATGTCTATTTATCCAGTGGTATTACTTGTTCTTTTAAATCTAATCTAAGAGTGCAAGAGCTTTGGGAGGCCACTACCTTGATGTTCCCTGTGCTGTCATTGGGAGGAAACAGGCTTTCCCAGAAGCTCTAGTGAACTGAACTGGTGTCCGTGGCAAATTGGAAGTTTTTGGTAAGTTACTTAAAAGCTTTCAGTAATGGTATTTGATTTGCTCCTGAAACAGGATTCACAGCAGACTTCTAACTTGCACCAAGCTTTTTTCACTCAAACCAATTTCCTTCAAATACTGCAAACTTGCACTGCTGCATAATATGTGATTTTTCAATTAAAAGAAATCATGAAAAGCTCTCTCAGTTTGTTTCCCACTGGCCTTGTCAGGGTATGTTTAGACAGCTCAATAAGGGAATAAGATGGCAAATGCCCTGAATTTCTATGTTCCCGTGGAGCGTGGCTGTAGGTGCTTGAAGAGCTGCACATGCAGCTCCTCTGTAGCTGTGTTTACTGTGCAATGCATTTACATTAAAAAGTACTGATATATTGAATGTGTTTGGGAATGATGTAAACATCCTCTAGGGCTTTTGAATGTTTAGCTAAACCAGAAGAGATTAATGGGGTCCTGAAGATTTTGCATGTGTTGGTGCTGGCTCAGAGATGCTGTGGGCCCATCTCAGTGTGTGCAGTGGCATGGATTTTGCCTTGATGGTGAGGGGCAGCAGCTGGGCACCTGCCAGCAGCAGGGCTTCCTGGACTGCCATGTGCTGTGTCTGGCTCTCTCCAGCCTGGCAATTTGGGACCCCTTGGGGCACCCGTCCTGTCCCACACCAAAACA